CCTCCTTGATGTTCCTGAAATTACCCTGGCTGCCATATTCTGCACCAGCTCTAGTTTCCGGGTTAGGCACAAGGGTAGCCCCATGTAGAGTGTGTTGCAGTAATCCAGACATGAGATTACCAGGGCATGTACCACAGCTTCCAGATCCCTCACATCCAGTTAAGGGCGCAGTTGGCGTATCAGCCGAAGCTGATAACAGGCGCTCCTGACCACCGCATTCACCTGACTAGTCATGTGAAGCGATGAATATAGGAGAACCCCCCAAGCTGCGAACACTGTCCTTAGAGGAGAGTGCTGCACCAGGATGTACACCATTTCTGTAGATGCTAGTAATCTTTAATCTGCTTCACAAGTCACACTGGAAACAATGGATGCATTTTTAATGTGAGTTTGTTTTTACTACCTGCTCCAAAAGTGCTAATACATTGACAGGAATTAGGTAAAGCAAGATTTAGGGCCTCTGTAGACTGGCCCAAAGAGATGGCTTGGAGGTAGAGTTGGAGCAGGGTATGCTGATGCTGTCCTGATGCCATCCTGGTGCAGCATTCTGACACGCCCTGTTCTGTTTTTAAATTTACTGAACCCGCCCCGATTGCTGCGCAGAGGGGCGGGCTATAAATAAAAATTTATTATTATTATTATTATTATTATTAAAAACTAGGACTACAGTTGCTGTTTTAACTATTCTGGGTTTTAAGCAATTGTCCTTGACACAGAAATAACAATGGCTTGATTGACTAATCACAGAGAAAAATAATTTGCATAAATGCAATTACTAGGAAATAATTATACATTTAGAATGCAAAACAGGTCTATGCCCCTTAAGCAGTGCAGAAATGAAATATAATCAAACAGTTCAGGTCACACACTGAGTAAAAATCCTATCCAATGAATAGCCAAGAGGATTGAACACATGCAAACAGTAATTTGTGGGCTCAAAGATAATTTTAAACATAAAAAGATATGTAGACAGCAGCAACGTGTATGTGAAACCATATTTCCACCAGCTGGACATACTCCTTTGAAAAGTTCTTGTGTCTCAAGGGAAAAAGAACAGGAATCTCACAAGAGCAAGGTTGACCCTATCATTAAGCAAAGTGAAGTAGTCACCCACAGGAAACATATTTGTTAGAATTATGGTTTTGGTTTTGGTTAATTTTTGGTTAAATTAATTTAGCAGCAACACAGCATTAATTAAATGTGTCCTCCATAGGTATTTGGTAAATCAGATCTAGATCTGAGCTTCTGGTAAATAAACAGGATACATTGGTAGGTAAAAAGGAACTTATTTTATTGCTACATCTAGGTTTTCCAAAATAACTTCTCAATAGAGAAAACTATACTTTGGTACAGAGGTCCCTAGATAGCTGACCTCCATGTGTGCAAGTAAGAAGAAAAACATATTTAGGAGCAAAACCTGGTTTCCGCATCCATGCTTCGTAAGAGCAGAGAGGAAAGTGTGCTACCAAAGAATCATAAAACGTAATTACCCCCAGGAAGAATCCCCAAGAAGGAGAGGGGTATGGGAAGTGATCTGTTCACAGACACATTGACCAAATGACCATAGAGATATACATCCGTGTTCCTGTGTAGACACACCACCTCTTCTCAAGGAAAGAAACATAAGTTATACACAAGCTTTGATGCTAATACTCCAACATCCTTTCTCATCAATGCTTGTCTTTATGTGACAAAATTCATCTTATTTCTCAGGAACTGAAATTGATCTCTAGGTAGAGGCTTGGTACAAACATGCATAGGTATTTCCTTTGATGTAGAACATTCACTTGGTACTTCCATCCTTGCAATGTAGGAAAAGCATAAAGGTGGTACTCCTCTGTTTGTTTGAGATGAGTGTCTGCGCTGTGGTTCTGGAACCCTATCTGCTTCCTTTGCGATGTTCAGTTCCAAACTTGGTTCTATTTGTTCATTCATCCCTTCTTTTTCATTGTTGCTGTGTTGCTGCTGCTAAATTGATTTAATCACAAATTAACCCAAACCATAATTCTAACAATATTTTTGGTGCCATGAAAATGCAACATATGGCTAATTCCTTGCTTTTGTCATTATTGCATTTTTAAGGCAACACACTCTCCAGCAGTCCTAATTAGGAAGGAAAGTCATGATTAATCCTCAGTTATCCTATTTTTTTAGCTGTTTTTAAAATAGTCCACTTTCTCTCTCCTTCCTCTTTCTCCCTTTGTTCTCCACTTACTTCGATTGCTGTAAATTGAGTTATGGCAACCCTATTGTGGGGATTTCTTGGCAAAATTTGTTCAGAAGGGTTTTGCCATTGCCGTCCCCTGAGATTGAGAGAGTGTGACTTGCCCAAGGTCATCTAATGGGTTTCATGGCTGAGCTGTGAATTGAACCCTGGTCTCCAGAGTCACAATCCAACACTCAAAGTACTTTGCCACACCTTATTATTATTTTTCCAAGCTTTTGAGATGCTTGGAATTTCTGGCAGTTTTAATTGTGCTTCTTTTGTAGCCTCTTCATTTGTTGTGGGTTTTGTTTTGTTTTTAAAAAAGTAGTATATTTTAGTTTTAAAAAATTAAATTGCCTAGGAAATATGATTTAAAGGTGGTAGTTAAAGATCTTTAACACAAAACAATAAATAAATCTATTTATCCATGCTGTAGGGCTTTGCCTCTCCTCTGAGGGTAAGAGAATGTTTCCATGGCAGAGCGAGGATTCGAACCATGGTCTCCAGAGTTGTAGTCCAACGCTCAAACCATTATACTACACTAGATATCATGGTACTTACCTCTGAGCAAAAAAGCATGTTAGCAATCTGAAGCATCTGGAGAACCAGAGAAGGAAATCATTGCAAGCTTTTTCAGCTGTTACTGGCATCTTGTGAAGGCATTTGGTTTTGCAAAAGATGAAAGAATGCTGACAGCGCATGTTCTTTTACTGACTGTATTTCTTTAGGGTTAAGCCCTAATTTTCCTCTTTGGAGAAGAATGACAGTTTCTTAGAAGCCCTCGGAAAATGAGGATAGACTAATAAGTTAAAAATGGATATAATCAAGCAGCTGCAGTCTTAAAGTAGCAATTCTGTAACTAGCAGCTGCTGATTGCATATAATTCTGTCTTTCAGCTGTTAAATACCATTTATGGCATCTTTTCTTATGCTTGCGAGAGCAGCATTTGCTGCATAGGAGACTAGAATTGAGCACAATTAAGTTAAAAGTTGTGCATATATTAGTCCTTTACTTTCTAAATTTGCCACACATATGCACTCACATGTATGTGTGTGTATGTGCACACACATAGACCACAGAAATAGGGCCAATTATGGTCAAAGAAAAGATCACATTATGGTTATGCCTAATTGGCACTGGACACAGCCCTTTGGGAAGCTGTCTTGAAGAAGCTGCATTGCAAAGAATGAGAGCATGTTCTTGTGCATGGACAGCTCAAGATATTTTGATGCTTGAAGCAGAAAAGAAAATGGCATCCCCACATCAGGTTTTAAGGCAGAAAGTTTCAGAAGTATCTCTTTCCTCTTTCTTGAAACATACCCTCCAACATTTCACAGATGAAAACTGGGAAATAAGTGGCTAATCAACATCAGAGTGTGATCAATATGGCATATATATCTCACATTCTTAGCCTTAGAAAAAGGTAAAGACGTTTCCCCCCCCCCCAAAAAAACCCACAAATGTTGCCAAGAAAAGTCCTTAACTTAACAAGTCCTTAACTTAACAACTCCAACTTATGTGAGTTGCCATAAGTTGGAAACAACTTGAAGGCTCACAACAACAAGTTGATACAGGTCAAGTGGATGGAACCTTGGCACCTTCTTGTCCTGGAGTATTGGATACATTTCATTTTGGGCAGCCTGAGGATGTGGACAGGATCCTTGGAGAGATGAAAGCCACCATATGTGTACTGGACTCTTGTCCTTCCTGGCTCCTGAAATCAGCCAGAACTGGCCAAGTGGCTCTTCTGCAGCAAGGAGCTTTCTGTCCTGCCTAAAAGAGGTTGTGTGGAGGCTGCTGCTGAAAAAATTCTCCCCGAACTCCATCATGATAGATATATTCCTGTCCTGAGCAAGATTCTAGAGTGCAAGATGGCCTCCCAGCTCCAAGAATCATAGAATCATAGAATCATAGAGTTGAAAGAGACCACAAGGGCCATCCAGTCCAACCCCCTGCCATGCAGGAACTCCCAATCAAAGCATCCCTGACAGATGGCCATCCAGCCTCTGCTTAAAGACCTCCAGGGAAGGAGACTCCACTACTCTCCGGGGGAGTGTGTTCCACTGTCGAACCGCCCTTACTGTCAGGAAGTTCCTAAGAGTTCATCCAAGAGTTCTTGAATGAAATGAATGATCTAGATCCATTTCAGTCTGACTTCAGGCCTGGCTATGGGAGAGACGGGGGGTGGGGTGGGGTCGACTCGGTGGATGGCCTACACAGGGAACTGGATAAGGGGTGTGTGTCCCTGTTGGTTTTGCTGGACCTTTTTCAGTACCATTAACAATGTTCTCCTACTTGGCTGCCTGTCAGAGATGGGACTTGAGGGCAGGGGTCCCACTTCTTCCTGGAATGGCTAACTCAAAAAGTGCCCAATGCCTTGTGGCATCCCTTAGTCTCAGTTCTGTTTAACCTCTAATAAAACCATTGGGGAAAATTATCCAGAGTTTTGGAGTTCAGTGTCACCAGGGTGCTAATGACACCCAACTTTATTTCTCTTTCCCATCTGATCCCAAGGTTCTGAACTAATGACTGTTGTCAGTAATGGATTGGATGAGGGCAAATAAATTGAAGCTTAATCCAGAGAAAACAGAGGTGCTCCTGGTCAGCTGAACGGTGGATCAGGGAATAGGGATCCAGCCTGTACTGGATGGGGTTATATTGTCCCTGAAAACGCAGGATCACAGCTTGACTGTACTTCTGGACTCACCCCTGAGCTTGGAAGCCCAGTTTCAGTGATGGCCAGTAGTGTATCTGCAAAGTTAAAACCAGTCCGCCCATCAGATCTGGCTACAATGACACACCTTGACTACACCCTGTTTGGACTATTTTAACACACTCTACCTGAGCCTGTGTTTAGGAACTATTTGGATTTCAGTGGGTCCAAATTGCTGCAGCCAGCATCTTAGTATATAACTCTCTTGTTGAAACAGCTCCCCTGGATACCACTTTGTTCCTGGGCACAATTCAAAGTGCTGGTCACAACGTATAAAGCCCTAGATCACTTAGTTCCAGTCCTCTACAATATAGAGACATCAGCCTCACCTAAGACTGTTTACTTATATTTTTTTAAATGTTACTTTTATATTCCCTGCCCTCCTTGAGCTCAAAACATGGTCCTTCTGCCCTCCTCATGCTCTCAATAACAGGCCCCTTGTGAGGTAGGCTAAACTGGGATAGAGCAGGGTGGCCAGATGTCCTAACCACAAAGGAGGATGAGGCATTATAAAATGTAGGACATTCAAGAAAAATGACATGATCAAATAAAAGCTAAAAACACTCATATCACAGTAAATTTATGCTTCTTAGTGATGCTCAAAATAGAGGACATTTTGGAATTCCTCCAGGACAGAAGGTTGAAATTTAGGATGTGTCCTGGAAAAGGACGTCTGGTCACCCTGGGGATAGAGTGACTGGCTCAAAGTCACCCAGGGAATTTCATGGAGTGGAGACTAGAACTGGATCTCCCATAAGTGAGCTTTTCGCACTCTTAAATAACTCGCTTTACTTGATCCAGCTTAAAATTAAATTTGGGTGGCATCTGGACCCTATCGCAAGGGTTTTGCCACCAAAATCACTGCCCAAATGCAGCCCGGGGCCATCCCTACTCCTAGAGCTGCTCAGTGCAGCTCTTTCTTGAAGCTGGGAGTTTTCTGGCTTGAGAAAATGACTGCGGGAATGGCTCCAGGATGGCACTGGGATGGTCCCGGGCAGTGATTTCGGCGGCAATAGGGTCCTGACACTGCCCAAATGTAATTTTAAGCCAGATCAGGCAAGGGAAGTTATTTAAGAGTGTGATATGCACCTATTATTCCAGGCATTATATCTGCTCTCTAATTGCAGTAGTAATATGCTTTTCTCTTCTTTTAGTCTCCTTATAATCCATAGTTTTTTCATACTATTTGCATGGCTCCTTTCCACAAGAGCCGCTTTGCAATGCCTGCTGCCACCTCTCTTCTTTTTCAAATCCTTCCTCACACCTCATAATTTCAAAAAACATCTTTCCACCTTTTTGAGAAATCCAGTTCTTATGTCTGGTTCTTATCAAGAAATAATGTGGCTTAAGACGTTATCACACGTGGGCCAGAAAGCGATAATAAAGTGGAAATGAGGCATTCCGAAAATAAACCGAAAATAAACCTTGATTCCGCAATTGGCTTTCACATATAATTACCTTAATTGCGAAATTAAAGTAAGCACTTGAAGGCCCACAGCAACAACAACCTATAAAAACTTGTTGAATCTTAAGTCCCATCAGCATCTCAAACCCATTTGGAGAGAATACAGGCTGCCTTTTCCCAGCAGAGAGAGGGCCTT